TGAACTAGTTCAGAACTGGGTCAGATCTGACCTGAATTGGTTTCTGAAGTGGGTCTGACTTGGTTTCAAAATCGGTTCAAATCCGACCTGACCCGCTTTTGACTTGGTTTCAAAACATATTTTAATTTTTTTATAGTTATTGATTTAATTTTTAAACTCATGTAATTTAATTATTTATTTGTTTTAAAATACATAAATTATATTATATATTTGATATTTGTTGAATAAATAAAGGAATGTAATTTTTTTATACATCACTGTTCTCAGCTTACAATTGTTATAGGTGAAGAAGGCTTTTCATTCTTAATGGATTTCCCTTCCTCACTGTTTCCCATGAGGTAAGCACCAAAAAGAAAGCACTGAGTGGAATACTTCCTGAGAAATTATTCAACTGTATTAAAAGGTGCCATGCAAGTTGTTACAGTGAGAAAATGATACAAAGAAGACAAGTCAAAATTCATAAACCAAGGTTCATGCACTTCAGAACCTACTGTTATCCTAGACAAATACTGGCACAACATAATCTTATACTCTAAAACTGTAAACATGTTATAAAGACAAGAAAAAAGGAAAAAAAATAGGAAGGAAGAACAATTCCAACATTTCTAATTATTGTTTCATAAAGAAAACGATAACATATATTACAAAATAATTACATTGAAGGTGTGAGAGAGGTTCTAGGTTTCTAGCAATAGTATAATAGCAAGGAGAAATTCGATTTTACTCAGTTAATGACTACATAACAACAGACAACATATATTACAAAATAACTTCTTCTATTTGACACTATGACATTGTAAACTACTATAAAGATGGCATCATACAACTATTACAATTTTCTAGCCAAGGACCACAAACAAACCGAAATCAAAGACTTAATATTACAGTCAATGACAGAATGGTACAGGGTCAATTATGTCTATTTGGTAGAGAACCCTAAACCCCAAAATTGCGTTATCGCCCACAGAGAGAAGAGAGAACCCTAAAAACGAAAATTGCAATTGTGATTTTTTTGTTTTCTTTATTTTCATATAATGGGTGTGGGTTAAGTTTTGGGTCAATGAGTCAATTATTAGAATAAGTCAGGTCGAAAACTAACACAAATAAAAGTGAATCAATATTTAAACTAGCTCAAACAAATAGGTATTTATGGGTCAAGTCAAGGTCAGATCAATGGCATACAAGTGAAACGGTTTTTTGCACACCCCTAATTTGAACCATAAAACCATTCAAGGGTAAATACTCATTACTTCCACATATTAAATCATGACACCAATTATAACTACATAATTCGTCACGATAATCAATATACCAAACTATCAATTCCTCCAAGAATCAAACATTAAATATATATTCCATCCATGGATTAACTATTTTTAGCATTAAGCCATCAAATTCATATCAAGTATTGGTCTTGACAAAAGCATAATCAAAAGTCAAGACTTTACTATACTTGGCTTCACCTTTACATATATACCATTGAGACCATATATCCAACTCATTATATATGCCATCCAGTTGTACATTTCAAAAGAATGGTCCTAACATGCAATTATTATCAAAACAAGCCAAGTCCAAAAAGAGAAACCCTCAATGCCTTACACATGTTTCTTTCCTTGAGAATTCCCAGCTCTTTCGCCTTATTTACTTGAAACATAATCCTTAAACGAGGTGAGGTAACAATCTCAGAAAACTCAGGGTCCTTGGAAGATTCCTTCACCTTTGAGCTCACTTTATTGCAAGAAAGTCAAAGCATATGACAAAGTCTAATCATATAAACCAACAACAATAGTGAATTAACTACACTCGTGTACCCATTGCACTAGGACCACTCCATTGAGTCGTCCCTCAAAACTAGTATCCGTATAGAGCTTCCAAGAGCTGTAACTCCTAGGATAAATCCCCAAGGGAAGTCCATATCTATTCTATTGATCAATGAACCTATCCCATCAATTCACAATATAATGGCTAACACCTTAAAGCACATCATATTAAGCAACCAATTGCATACCAAGTCTACATGAATGAAACTATATCATGGCTTTAACAACCAATCACTCAATCAAGCAATTAACCAATTCTTCCATGGAGTGTGGTGGAACACCAAGAGAGATTAATCCCAAGGTCCAAGAATTTACCTCTTGAAGTTAGGCTATTCAAAGTCTCTTCCTTTGTTCCAATATCCAATAACACCAATTCACCAATAATCACTTATTATGAGTAATCAATCCAATCAATAGCATATTTCATATATGAATTCATCAACACCATTACTCAAAACATCATTACCAAGGAAAAAGCACTTGCCCCCAATCTTCAAGGTTCAAGAACCAAGCCCTAACTCAAGGAAGGCTCCAATGGTGATCCTAACCTAAAATCACCACTAGAATCAATACTCTCACAATAAATATACTCACAATACCATCAATTTCATTATACCATAATCTAATTCAGAAACGCCCCATACCCATAAAACCATAGGTTATAGAATCCTCAAAGAACTCAAAGGAAGTCCATAGTTTCTTACCTCGAACCTTCTAGGCACCAAAGAGAGCGGAGCTCCAAGTTCTAAAGGAGGAACCCCCCTTTTTTTCTCTCTCCACGGATGTGGCACCCCAAGCACAAGGAGGAAGTTAGTTCCTAGGTGGTTGTTTAGCAACTAAGGGCAAATGATAAAGAGGTGATGAAGAAAAGAAATAGTGCTCCAATGCTAGCTTTGGTTAGATGAAGTTCAAAGGAGAGCAAAGGAAAGCTTCTTTTCTTCTTGACAATGGGGAAAACATGAAAACAATGAAGGGGAGAGGGGCTACACAATGGGAACAAGAGGAGTGAGGAGAGAAAGTGCTCATTTCGATCTTGAAATATCTTTGAGGGGGAAAAGACCCTTTTACCCTTCCATTCTCTTTCAACTCACTATGACTCACTTAAGCTTCCTGATTTTGTGATTTTGGCTATGTGGGTCTAATTAAGGTGTATCACACTTAGTTTGTTTTAAGTATCACCCACTTCGAATAATTGCACATTTTCCCAACACTTTTATTATTTTCACTTTTGCCCTGAAAAGTGACTTAACTCTAAAGTAGACTTTTCATCTAATTAACTCTTAATTACACACTAATCTCTGATTAATGTAATTAATTATTTGGGTTATTATAGATGCCATCCTAGAAGAGGGGAAGAACCTTAAGACCCAATTGTAAGAGGCCAAGAAGGTAACTTCGAATACAGACTAAGGTTGCTACGGAGGTTGTTTTTGTTGTTGCTAGTTTTGCAGTGTGTTCGTGTATTCACCTGGATTGATGGGAGTCGAAGTTTATCGTTTCCACAGACAGCACTAATGTTTGATTTCAATGGATCAAAGGTTGATGTTAGATCTGAGGACTAGCGGTGTATATGGAAGAGACAACCGCAAGTAATGGTAGATCACTATGCACAATGAGAAGACAGATAACCTATAAGAATGATGTATGTGCACAATGACAGAATGAAAATTAGGGTTTTAGATTGCATACTTGTGAGATGAAACTCCTTTTTTATAAAAGATTTTATACTTGAGAATGGACTTGGGCTACTTTGCGTAGCCAACCTTGGAGCCTATTATGTCGGTTTTTAACACTTTAAAATATTTGTTTTGTATCTCTTTAATTTAAAAAAATCATACATGTTAATTTATGCACATATGTAATATTCTATATAAGTTAAGTCATAAAGGGATTAAGAAAATTATTAAAAATTAAAAATTGCTGATAAATGATAAAAATGGGGCCAAAAGTGTAATTGGAATCAAATATGGGTTCCTTAAATCCAATAAAAGTAGGAAAAAAAATTACAAGCTAACTTTTATAACGAATTTAACTACTCAACAACTATTTTTGTTACAAAGTTTGTGTTTTTCTTTTTCTTATGTGAAGGTTTTGAATATAAAGTTGATAATTTGATGGATAAACAATACCAAAAAGTGTCATACTCAATGTTATCAGACCCGACCCGATCATTGATCCGGCTGGGGTATTAGGTCATTGGGTTACTGGTTCAATCGGTCACTTGTTGAACCGCATGACTCTGGTTAGTATAAGAAAATCTATATTTTATACATAAAAATACTCAAATACATGTAAAAATCATTATACAAGGTTGCACACATATATAATTTTTGTAGAGATAAGAGAAAGTCGTATATAGTAACCATATATAATATATTGAAAAAGAAGTAAACAAAGGAAAAAGAAAATTCAAGTATGAGATAGCCATATATAATTTCTCTATCAAATATCCTCAACTAACCATGTTTAATAATTATAAGACATTTACCAACAACTTTTCTCATAAAAATAGATTTGTAAGGAATCAATATGTCACATTCTCTTAATCTACTATTTCGCAAATTATTTAAGTTTTTTAAGCTAAAATTTGATGTCACCGTAAGAGAGTATATTATTAGCAAACAAAACTACAAATTTTTTGTTACCGAAAAAAAAAACTACAAATTTTTTTGAAAGGAGTTTCATATTTTTTTTAAGACAATATGAGACATCTTTCAATATTTTTTTTTAAATGCATGACCCGCCAATTTTGATGACTCGATCGATTATCAATTTTCACCAAGTCTGATACATGAACGATTCGATACTTGACTCGTACCAATCAGATGAACAATTTATTGGATTATGGATTGAACCGACGAGTTTAAGCCAATATGATAACAATTCCAGCACTAGAAAAGAAAGTTCAGCATTACCAAACAATAGTAACATTTGAAGTAAGTTTCAGCAAACTAGAAAAATGTCTCATTTTCTTGCCAATAAATATCAAATACGTAATTTCCAATCAAACTACAAAAGCAAAAGCAACACTATTTCTTTTTTTCAAAAAATAAAAACCCAATTTTCTAAATATTTTATCATAAATAGAGAATTCATTAAAATCTCGTTAATTTTCCCGCTGGTTCATTTTAAATTACCAAATCGTCATTGAATTTCAATGCTTTACGCGCCGTTACGATGCAACTATCCACCACCGCAGGCGCAGCCTCACCGCCACCGGCGTTAGAAGAGGAGCGGTTACCTCACGACGGCGAAGGTTACGACCTTAACGAAGACGGCGCTCCGATCAGCGTCGTCTCACTGGACGATGAGGGTTTCCCGTCGCAAGTCCTCGGAGAAGACGGTTCACCAAACGGATCGGTAACAGCATCGGAAAAGGGCAGTTTCGCCGCCGATTTCTATCGCGGCGGAACCGACTGGTCCTCGTTGTTGTCGCCAGAAGATCAAAGTGACAGGGATTTCGCGCGCGATTCGGTACCTTCGGAGAAGAAGCTGAAGCAAGCCAATCTGTTCCAGATTTGGGGCTTCAAAAGAAACGAAACCGTTGGTTCCGTTGAATCTGAACCCAATCAAAGTTGTAATTGTGATGACGGAGGTGAGGGCGGTGCTTCTTCTGAGAGGAAGATTGTGAAACCTGAAAATTGGGGTTCGATTTTGCGTGACACCGGGAAAGTGTTCGAGAACCCAAAATTTTCTCGCAAGAGAAAGGATTCCCATGGTGAAAGTAGGGTTACACGTGCCTGCCCCTTTTATAAGAAAATCCCAGGTGAAATGAAACTTCCATTTTTTTATTGGTATGTTATAGTTCTTTATATATTGTTTTTGCTTTAGGATCCTTGCTAGTATCTTTAGGATATCAATGTGTTTGAGAGTTTTATTTTTATTTTTGTGTGGCATGTTGTTTTCACTCTTTGTTTCCTGGGGTTGCAAAAAGAGTTTAAAAGTTCTATGATGTTAATTTAAGTTCTAGAAAGTGATGATACAAATGGAGCTGAAAAACCAGTTTGCAAATAGCTGCATCTTGAATTTTTTTTTGTCTGTTGTGTAATGAAAAATGAGAAACGGTGTAGTTTCTGAACGTTCTGAACTAAGTCTATTTGCCAATGCAGGGACAACGTTCACTGTTGATGCTTTTCGTTATGGGTGTGTTGAAGGGTGCTCAGCATATTTTCTTAGTCATTTCCATTCCGATCACTATGGCGGCCTTAGCAAGAAATGGTCGCATGGTCCTATTTATTGCTCTCCTCTCACGGGACGGCTAGTTCAAATGTGTCTCTCGGTGAATCCTTTGTAAGAACTCATAAACTCCTCTATTTCCTGTGCCTTCTTTGTATATTACTCACTTAAATGAACAGAAAAATTAGGTGCACCTGATCATGATTATTTCCTTTCCATTTCAATGAAGTGATTACCTTTTAACTTTATTTTTTTGTATAGGTACATCCACCCTTTGGAATTTAACATTGAACATTTGATTGATGGTGTCAAGGTGACTTTGTTAGAAGCTAATCATTGCCCTGGTGCAGCTTTGATTCACTTTGGCCTCCCAAATGGGCAACGCTATTTGCATACTGGGGACTTTAGAGCTTGTAAACAAATGCAAGCTTACCATCTTCTTGTAAATCAACGTGTGAATGTACTTTATTTGGATACCACATATTGCAACCCAAAGTACAAGTAAGACTCTTGTTAAAATTTTGTACAGATCTTGTCATTTGGTTACAGTATATGATCATTGATTGTTTTAACATAAATTGATGGCACTTAATGTCAATTTTCTGCTTCAGGTTCCCTTCCAAGGAAGATGTACTCAATTATGTTGTCAAAATTACGAAGAACCACCTCAAAATGCATCCCAGAACTTTAGTGGTTGTTGGGGCATATAGTATTGGCAAAGAATGTGTATATCTTGCAATTTCTAAGGCACTCGGGGTGTGTGGGCTTTTTTTCTCTATCAGATTTCTTTTTCAACTTATCTGCTCATTCTATACCTGTCTCTTATCAATTGTCTTTCTCGTTGACTTGAAGGGATGTCCCAGGAAATTTATAACATATATTGATACCTATGAAATTGGTTTATGTCTTTATGACGATCTACATTCTATAGTCTATTTCTGAGGGTTTTGAAGTTTTCACTTTATTTCTTTGATCTTGTGGAATGCATTTGTGTTTTGGAGTTGCCAACCTTGAATTACGGACATTCAATTCCGGCTATTTGCGTTAGGCTGAATTAACAGAAGTAGCTTTAAGTTGCCAGGTTATGTTTTCTCATAGATTGTTTGATCCATTGACGCAATATCTGTGGCTCTTTTCTGATTCAGGTAAAAATTTATGCAAACGCTTCAAGAAGACGGATTTTGCTAGCTTTTGGTTGGCCTGACTTTTCAGATAGTCTCTGTACAAATGGAAATAACACGCTTCTCCATGTTCTGCCCATGTCATCTCTGAGATTTGAGGTTTAATTTTGTTCCGTTATACTTTAACCTCAAGGATCTCTGTTTTTCCTTTTAAAATTCAGTTTTGTATCTTATAATTCACCATCCATGTTTTCCTTGTTATGTTAGACCTTAAAGGATTACGTGAAGACCTACAAGGAACAATTCACATCAATATTGGCATTTCGTCCCACTGGTATTTTACCTATACTTTTGATGAAATGATTTCTTAATCATCTTGGTATCTTTTGTTGTCAGCGGAGAAGCTCTTTATGCAGATAGAGCAGTTCAAGTGTCAATACTTTATCGTTCATATTTTCAGGTTGGACTTTCAGCGAGAAGACACGCAACGATCTGGATCTAATTAAACCTATTTCCAAAGGAAATATCACGATATATGGTAAAGATTAGCTGCAGTTCAACAGTTACTCTTGATATAAAATATGAACATGGAATTAGTGCTATTTCTATTTAAAATGCACTGGATTGGACCATGGTATGTATAGTGCTTTCAGCTGTTGAAATGCTGAGTAGGTCATGGACTGTCAAACCAGCTTTTAATTTGTTTATTCTCTGCCGGTCTTTTAGTAGTTATTTATCTAGCAAACTAGTATAGTTTACGAGTCCCTTTTCTCCCTTTTTCTAGGGGTTCCCTACAGTGAGCACTCCAGCTTCACAGAACTGCGGGATTTTGTTCAGGTCCATAAATGAATTTTATGATTACTTTAACTGATATATGTTTGATAATTTATTTGTTGTTAACTACAAAATTGCATTATTTTGTGTCTCATTTTTTAATGAATCATCTTTATCTTCCAACAGTTTTTGAGGCCTGACAAGATAGTTCCTACTGTGAATGTCGGGAATGCTACTAATCGAGAAAAGATGCAATCCTACTTCCGAGACTGGTTGAAGGGCTAAAGTCTCTGCTCTTCTTTAAGAGATTGAGTTTGTAATATGAGATTTCCATTTAAAATCCAATTTGCGGGGACTCAACTTATTTACTGCTGCTTGCAGAAGGTGATACATTAATTTTTTTTATCCTAAACAGTTGTGATTACATGCTTTATCAAATGGCTGCAGTGCAACAAGTTTTCCTCCATGTTTAAGATGAGCCCCAATATGACAGTCTTGCTAAAATCTCCTTGAAAGATCCTCCTGCAGAACATGCAATACTTTTATGACAACCAAATCAGGAAAATATAAAATGAAATGTCATGCCTTCTAATGTTGGTCGTCTACACACTTGGCGTTTGCCCATTTTGAACATTGTCTTTGAATATTGTATAAAAAAAAATTGATAGCGAGGTGAAAAATCGTAGGTAATATTTCTTGGAGGTTACAACTTGAAATTTTACCATTATTTATACCAATTTTAGGAGTTCTATTTTTTAGGGCCTTGTTATATCCACCAGAGTTTTTGCTAAAGTTGATTGGTAGTGGTGGACTATTACATTATTGATACTTTGATTGTATTTTGAGTATTACACCATTGTATGATTTGCGACGCTAGTTCATTTTGTCTGCTTATCTATATGCCAGTTTTTTGTTTTTGTTTTTGTTTTTTTGTTTTGGCATGGATTCCTGTGTAGTAAGTCGATGGAAATGGTTAAGCTACTTGTATATTGGAGAAAAACATCACACACGAATATAATACAAATATTTATAATTTATTTGCATTTGCTAGTTTCGAATGATTATCGTAAAACTTGAAAACTTCCTATTAATATTTATATGCATTTTAAAGTTCTCCCAAATTAAAGAACCTTGGAAGATTTTAAACATCCCACCAAATAGAAAACTTGGTACTTAATGTCCCATACACTTCCTTTGTCATCATGTAAAGCAAATTTTGTCATCGTTTCCTTTCACTGTAAATTGTAGTTTACTCTTGTGATTTGATGTTCTGTTCAAAAAGTGGCACTTTATTTTCGTGTAGTTTGATCTGATTACATAATCATCTCGTGATTTTTTCTCCATCCACTTTTTAATAAAAAAACATGTCTTCTACGAGTTATAGAAAAAAAAAAACTATTAACTTTAATAACTTTTATATATGAGCTTTTTGACCCTTTTGTCCTCTCATTAATTAATTAATAACCAATTTATCCGTTCTCCAGAACTATCCACCATCTTGCTCCCTTTAGTCGATTAAGATGAACTTTTAATCGACTAAATAGTGAAAATGCAGAAAAAATGCTCCCCAAAATTTAATCGATTAAAAAGTTATTTTGATCGATTAAATTTTGGGACATTTGATCGACTAAAAATGTTATTTAGTCGATTAAATGTCGCTGAAAACCCTATATGCAGCCCTTTCTCAATTTCATTTCAAATATTTTCGTTTTGTAAACCATTATATCTCTTGTTTGTTATCTGTGATCCTTCTAATCACGATTACATTTCATCCCACCATCTCTAAAGCCTTAATATTGTGAAATCATTGTCATTCCACCTATATTCTCATTTCTTGCCCCCAAAATCCGAACCCAAACCCCCAAAATCCGAACCTTACTCCCAAATCCGTGTGAAAGATGAGTTCAAGTCCAAACATGTTTGTTACAATGATCTACTATGATGGAAAGCATTATGAAGGCCCCAATGATGTTCAATTTGAAGGAAAAACGAAAATGTTGAAAATCAAACGGGGCACTACATACAATGAGTTGAAGGGGAGAATTCACCAAAAATTGGGGCTACAAGGCAGCCAATGCGTTCGACGGATGATCGCCAGGGTAGAGTCTACAGTTGGTAAGGATGCTATATTCTACATTGGTAACGATATATGTGACGATGAAGATGTGGAATGTGTCATAGATGCAATTGTTGACCGAAAATTTCAAAATTTTATTGAGATATATGTTGAAATGGATTGTGGTCAATCTTCATCTGCACCTATGCATGAAAGAAGTCAGAGTCAAGAAGACAGAGTCGTCGGTTTATCTGCACCTGCAGCTGTCTTAAGTCAGATAACACTGAGGGAAATAGACGAGGATGAGCACGAGGAGGATATGGACAGTGATGAGGACGGTGAACCTGAGAGTGTTATTCCGCCAGGTGACACCTCAGATACGGACGTAGAGGGTAATTTTGACGCTGACACAAACTCAGGAAACCTGAGTTCCCAGGTTATGCCACCACTTCGTGTTGACCCTGTTAGCAGTGGTAAGATAGTAAATTAAAGTATTAAATGAACATTTCATATTTGTGTTATCATTGGTACTGACAGAAAAGTCCAACAATTTTAACGTAGGTTCTGAGATTGAGCCATTTTGGAACGAAAGCCCACATTATTCCTTCATTAATTGGGCCCACCCTAATGATGAGACAAAGATATTGTATGGCGACGATGACTTGCACGGTGGCTGGCTATTAGGGGATCCATTATATTTGTACCAGGAGTTTCGTAGTAAATCTGAAATGCAACATGCAGTCAAATTATATTGTATGAAGGCTCACCGTACTGCTATAGTGTCAAAAAATGATGAGCATAGATTTGTGATGAAGTGTCAACACCATAATGATGGTTGTCCCTGGTACGTACGGACATTGTTGTCGAAGAATGGAAATACTTGGGTGGTTAGTAAGTAGGGTAAAGAACACACCTGTCTAAACCAAGGTCTTACCCAGGACCATAGACAGCTGGATTCTGATGTCATCTGTGCAGCCATTATGAGTGTGTATTACACGATGTTTGGTTACATAAGTTATGTTTATGTTATTTAATGAAATTTTTTTATTGACAGTGTTGACTTTGAATTCTTTTTTTTTTCCTTTATAGGTATGTTAAAAGAAGATCCATCTCTAAAACAGTTATTATTCAAGAGAGGGTTCAGCATTTGTATGGATACAACATAACTTACAGGAAGGCTAAAATGAAGGCCCTTGTGAAATTATTTGGTGACTGGGATAAATCATATGCATTCTTGCCTGGTTGGCTGACATACATGACACAGGTTAATGTGGGTTCTGTGTTCAAGATTGATACAGACCGGTGTTTTGATGAACGTCGAGTCTACATCGATAAGGTTGTCTTTCACACGACATTTTGGATCTTTCACCAGTGCATTGAGGCTTTCAAATATTGTAAACCCATAATCCAAATTGATGGCACACATCTGCACGGTAAATACAAAGGTACCCTTTTGATTGCTACGTCACGGGATGGAGATGGATACATTCTGCCAATTGCCTTTGCCATTGTTCCACCAGATGAGAGATTGGAAGATTGGTCGTGGTTTCTTAGCCTAATGTGTTTTCATGTGACACATAGGCATGGTATTTGTCTAATATCCGATCGTCACCCCAGCATCATCAGGGCTGTGAAGGATCATGTTGGTTGGCAGCCTCCATTTGCGTATCACGTGTTTTGTCTTCTTCACATCAGAAGCAACTTTAACACTAAGTTTAGGGATGTGGAACTGAAGAAAACCCTGATGAAACTAGGTATACAATTTCCTGAATGTGTACATGTTGTATCTAATGCAAATTTATATATAACTCGTTCAATTTTCATGATATGCAGGGTACCTGAGTTCGAATATTCATTTTGATATCAGATTCCAGGAATTTTTCAATAGTAACCCACAAGTAGCTTCATGGATAGATCAGATTCCCAAAGAGAAATGGTGCAGGTCTTATGATGAGGAAGGCTGCAGGTTTGGTCATATGACGACTAACCTATCTGAGTGTGTCAATAAGGTCCTAAAGGGTGCACGTAATTTTCCTGTAACGGCATTGGTCAAGATGACTCAAAGTAGACTTGTTGAGTATTTCAAGAGACGTGAAAAGATCCAAAAAACAATGACGAAAGGTTGGAGAATTGCAAAAAAGGTTGAGGATTACATACAAAAGAATGATCAGTTAAAGGTGAGTCTCTGTGTGCGTGTTTTTGATAGAGACTTGCAGTTGTTTGAAGTTGAGGATGCCTACAATCAATCTACGCATGATGCCGGCGACATAATGAAGGTGGACTTGCTCAATCGCAAATGTCAATGTGGACGGTTTACAACTAGAAGATTTCCTTGGAGTCACGTGTTAGCAGTGTGCAAGGTAGAAAAATTGAACCACTATGACTATGTCGATCCTGGGTTTTCAATTTCACAAATTGACAAGGTCTATGCTGCATATTGGTATCCAATGGGTAATGAGTTGTTGATTCCACAAATAGATGGCCCAACTATTATCCCAAATGCATCTTTGGTACGTGCACAAGGAAGACCGAAGTCTTCAAGGATACAGAATGAGATGGATTGGGTTGAGTCTCAACCCACAAGCAGTCAGAGTAGATGTAGTACCTGCAAACAAATTGGTCACAATAAACGTACATGTCCTATGAGGATTAGACAGAGTTGAACCAATATTGTGCATTCACTTATGAAATTGATGTTATGAGGCACCATGGGAGGCAGTTCATGTGTTTATGTTTTAGTTCATGTATTTCAATTATGTTACTGTGTATTGTAAAATTTATGTCACTTTATGTTGATTTTGATGAAATTTTTAACCGATGACATGGAATGTTTAACAAATGGCATAAATGGTACTTTTGTACTAACTTGATCAATTTGGTTCAAACCATAGCACAACAGGTCAAAATTGTCCATAGCAACTCAGAACAATCAATAATATGTGTGTAAAATGAATTAACCAAGTTGTGGGGAGCCTAAACCAACGTTTGCGATCAATATATTTCTAATATGTTAATCGAACGTCCACGTTGTTTTTTTGTATCACAATTTGTGTTCCCCAAGTCACATACACGTATTCCATGAGTGTAGAATCGCAACTAAGACAAAAAAACCCCGAGGAAAACAGAATGGGGTGCCGAAACCAATGATTTAATCGATCAAACCTATACTGGTTTAATCAACTACAATTTTTAGTTGATTAAACCAGTACATGTTAATCGATTAAATCATTGGTTTTAGCACCCCATTATGTTTTCCTTGGATTTTTTTGTCTTAGTTGCGATTCTACACTCATGGAATACGTGTATGTGACTTGGGGAACACAAATTATCATACAAAAAAACAATGTGGACGTTCTATTCCCTAAATGTAAATATATTGATATTCACGTTGGTTTAGGCTCCCCAAAACTTGGTTAATTCATTTTAAACACATATGCATGATTGTTCTGAGTTGCTAAGGACAATTTTGACGTGTTGTGTTATGGTTTGAACCAAATTGATCAAGTTAGTGCAAAAGTACCATTCATGGCATTTGTTAAACATTGAAAAGGGAATAATTAATGATAAATAATTCCGATGACGAAACAACAACTTCATTACATCAAATAGTTCCCTAAACACT